AGCCGGAGCTGCGCCTGGCCAGCCTCAGCGGGACGACACGGAGCGAGGCAGCGGTGGAGCTGGTGTGCCGGGAGCTGGAGCACTTGCAGGATTACTGCCAGCCGCACGCACCAGGTGAGGTGTCACCAGCCATATGGCCCAGCTCCATACCCCCGATGTCCCCTTTTTCGGGGGGACAGGTAGCACAGCAGGTGTCAGCTTTGCTTTCCTCTTTTTGTTTTCAGGAGCCTTGCTCAAAGCTGCCTTCATCTGCACCCAGGTCGTGCAGTTCACCTCACAGAAACCCTTGCGGGCCCAGCTGATGGAGAGCTTTGGGGGTGGGTTTGAGGTGCACACCTGGTCCAAGCTGCCTCATGGGTCTGGCCTAGGTAAGTCTGCAGGGAAAGGGCCGGGAAGGCCCTCCCTGATTCCAGGGAGTCCCTCCTGCTGCCAGCACCGGGATGGGGCATCTCCCTTGCTGCCCTCAGTGGCAGACACAGCGCCTCGCTGCCCTGGCCCCGCCTGTGCTCCCTGCAGGCACCAGCAGCATCCTGGCAGGAGCGGTGATGGCGTCGCTGTACCGGGTGGCTGGGAAGGCTGCCAGCACCAAGTCCCTCATCCATGCTGTGCTGCACCTGGAGCAGAGGCTCACAACAGGTAGCGGCTGGGGGAAGCAGTCAGCCTGCGGGGTGCGGGTCCCGGCGGTGGCTGAGGACTCTCCGCCCTGCAGGCGGCGGTTGGCAGGACCAGGTGGGCGGGCTCGTGCCTGGCATCAAAATCGGGAGGTCGAAGGCCCAGCTGCCACTCAGGGTGGAGGTGGAGAAGATCCCAGTCCCTGACGGTTTTACCCAGACCCTCAACGATCACTTGCTGCTGGTGTACACAGGGAAGACTCGCCTGGCCCGCAACCTGCTCCAGGTAACGTCTGGGTGCTCCTGGGTGCCTCAGGCTCTGGCCTCTGCTTCCCCTGTGGCCTTTGGTCCCTGTCCCTTTCGCTGGCGCAGTGCTTTGCCACCCCAACGGGAGCTGGCAGCAATGCTGCGGGTGCAGTACTACCTCCCTGGGTGCTGCTGGAGCCAGGAGGACGGTGACAGGGACTTCCTGGCCTTTTGCAGGACGTGGTGAGGAACTGGTATGCCAGGCTGCCTTCCGCTGTGCAAAACACCGATGCGCTGGTGAGCAACGCTGAGGAATGTGCCCAGGCCTTGAAGCAAGGTGCAAGCCCCCTTTCCTAGGCCTGGCTGGCCCTTTTAACGACTGAAGAAACACAAACTTCCCTGGGGAGAGTCTGTATAGTCCTGGGTGGGGGGAAATCTGCGGAGGTGGGGGGCAGGTTCTTGCAGCTGCAGAAGCCTCGAATCTTCCCCCAGGCCCACGGGCACATTACAGGCAATGCCCCAAAATTCAGGCTTGAGTGAAGACTTGAGGAAGGGGAGGTTAGACATGCCGAGTCTGGTTGATTTTCTGAGCCATCCGTGATGGGGCTGGGGGCTGTGCCTAGCCTGTGCAGTGGATTCATTTGGCTTTTGGCTGCTGGGATGCTGCAGAGGGGAAGCCAGAGCATTAAAGCAAGCAAATTCTCCCCCTGTGGAGGATTAAAATTAAACAGCAATGTGACGAGGCTGGGTTTGCTTGCTCGGCCGGCAGACCTGGGAGGAATGGGGTAGATGAGAAGGTGGAATTTAGCTTGGGCTGAGCTGGAGAGGCAGGGACAGGGTTCTGCCCCTTGGGAGAAAGAGAGGCAAATAGTTTACAGTATCCCCTCCCCTGCAGGTAACCTGCCGCTCATTGGCAAGTGTCTGGACCGCTACTGGCAGCAAAAGAAATGCATGGCCCCTGGGTGTGAGCCGCTGGCTGTTGGGCGCATGATGGACGCTCTCCGGCCCTACGTCTATGGGCAGTGCTTGGCTGGGGCTGGCGGCGGCGGCTTCCTTTACGTCTTAACCAAAGCCCCTCGGCAGAAAGAGGCTTTGCACCAAATTCTGGCAAAAACCGAGGTGAGATGCAAGCTCCCTGGTGGTTCGCTGTCGCAGGCAGCTTGCAGAAGCTCGCTTTATATAGCGCAAGCACTAGGAGCATCTTGCCCCACCACGAGCGGGATGAGATTGCTTGTTGTCCCCTTAGCCCTCCCCAGGACCTTGGGAGGGGAGAATAGGTCCCTCGCTGGCTCCTGCCCCAACCCATAAATCATTTTTTTTCTAGGGACTGGGCAACTTCAGCATCCACAGCATCCAAGTAGACACAGGCGGCTTCTCTGTGGAGGTTCTGGGACGTGATGTGAAGGATGTGGCTCACCCCAGAGAGGACATGGCTGCGTGAAGGCCTTCAGCCCTGGCCCCTTCCTGGCAGACAGGCAGGGGAGGGAGCAGCCAGCTGCCTTCCAAAGCAGGGAAATCCCTGCTGCTTTAGAGGCAGCTTCTTCAGCCAGTTCCAGCAGGTACCTTCGGTTTTGATGTGACCTTTTTGTGCTGCTGCTTGCCCCAAAAGCCACAGAGGCTGGAGAAGCTGTGACGAGCTGGGCAGGTAAAACTGTCCCTGGAAGCTGACCACGCTGGAAGAACGGTTTGTTAGGGTCTCCAGGCTGATTTTGGGGTTTCACTCCAGTTTTCATGGTTCTCCAAAGGGAAAAGAGTAGCATTTGTGATGCTGCCTCTAGCAGGAACGTTCCTGCTCTTCCAGCAGTAGAGACCAATGCTGTGCGTTCGGTGTGCAATACTCCTGCACTGAAATGCACCTGCGTGTGGAATCAAGTCCCTCTCCCTTGCTCGGAGACTTTCTGCAGTGAGTTACTAGTCCCTGCAGTCTGAATAAAATCCCTTGATCCCAGCATGTGTTTACGCCCCTCTGTCTCTAGCAGGGCTCCTCCCCGCAGGACAGCCAGGGCCCAGCAATGCCAGGGGGGCAAAGCTTTTCCAGGGGTTAGCAGGGCAGAACCTGCGTGCAGGGGCTGGTCATCGCTCTCCACAGCCCTGGCTGACGGGGACACCACGGGAGCGCTGCTGCAGGAGGCAGCCAAGCAGCCAGCAGGCACTGGGTACTACTCGGGGGTGTTTGTACTTGTGATGTGCCAATGCTAGCAGGGTCAGGGGGGGCACAGGAAGATCCTCTTGATGCTGTGGCACAGGGTAGGAAAGGAGAAATGGTGCCGAGCTCGTCCTACATCTCTCCAGCTCCCTGCAGGCCCCCAGACACACACACCACCCAGCGCTGCTGCTCAGCCAGGTGAGGTTTATTTACAGAGTCAGGGACACGGCCCTGATTGCTACAGCAGCTTTCTAGGGATTTTCCAAGCACCCTCCCCACAAGGAAATCATTCCTTCTCCCTTCAACAGAACGGTCCCCATTGCCACCAGGAGAGAGCCAGGGCTCAGGATTTGTAGGACTCCAGTAGCTGACCCTTAAACTGGTGGCACAGAAGGACCACAACTGTGGCCAGAGTGCTCTCTGCAGCCCCATATTTGACCCACACCACAACAGCCCCCAAATTCCCTGACCTGTGGCCTCCCGCAGCAGAGCAAAGGGAGTTGGGACTTAGCACAAGCTTGTCCCTCAGACGTGTTTTCAGAAATAGTGTCACGCTCCTCTCAGTGTGAGAGATTCCTCTGCTGCCTTGTTTCTGCTCCCACAAAAGGAATGGCAGCTCTTCTTTCCAGGCCCAGGAAAGCCCTTTGCTCCGAGGAACACGAGCAGAAGGGCAGCCATCACCCCATCCCCACACACCATCTAACAGCTAGCCAGCCCCGGGGCAGGACCTGGGCAGGCTCCAGGGCTGCAGTTACCTCCAGCGTGGTGCTGACCCAAGCACCAACCAACTACAGGCGCAGCCGCTTGATGTCCTCACTGCGGAAGTCGATTCGGAGAGCCAGCACCTGCCGGACCTCGGCGGGGGTAAGGCGCCAGGTAAGCGGGCCTGAGTTTGGACCCCAGTAATCCAGAATCTCCGTCACCTGGAGGAAGAGGAGAGCTGCAGGAGACAATGTGGCACCGACTGCCCTCACAGGTGAGTTCAAACTCTGGTTACGGTCGCAGTATTTCCTGTCACTAACCCCTGCAGGCAAACACCCATCTGGCATGGGGCAACTGTTCCAGCTTCTCCATACCCCGCAGGTGTGACAACGTCTGGATGAGCCCAGTAAATCCATGTGGAGTCCAGCTGGGCCTCCCACAATCCCCCAGTAAAAGCAGACAAAGCACAGCTCACCCTTTCCAGATTGAGGATGGTGGCCATCTGGGAAAGCCGGGCAAACTTGTCGCGGATAGTCCAGGTGGTGACTGTGGTGAGATAGGCTATGAGAGACCTCAGCTCCTTGTCAAACTGCAGGCCGCCAAGCTGTGGGGACCAGGGGAGCTCTGTTAACTCTCCAAGCAGGCCCAGGGGTTGTGTCAAACACAAGTTACAGCGGGGCAGGGCTCTGCTCAGCTCCAGTTAGGCCATTTATTGCAGGTTAAACTGGCTTATGTTTAGACCCACCTTAAAGGCCAGCCCCCTTATTGATGTGAATACATTTTCTCCCTGTGTACTAACGGAAGGTCCCCCTGAGCTGGCTGTGGTGGCAGAGCTTGTCTGAGAGTAACACTTGCCTCTGCACCATCCCGTCCCTTTACTGTGGGTTTCCTGGTGGAGGGTTTGCAGTCAAGCCAGACAACAGGGTGGAGGACAGTGTTTTGCTTACCCTGCTGAAGGTGGATTTGAGCAGCACCTTCTCCAGTTCAATGGCTATGAGACTGGTCATAAGACCAGTGAGGGTATCATAAATCACTGGAGACAGTCCAGCCTGGAAGCAGAAACCTATGTCATTCTAGTCAGGAACAACTGAGCAGAGATCCACAAAACCCAAGCCTATGAGAGCTTTCAAATAAAGACCCATCACTTGCAGGCTCAGCGAGCGCAGAGCACCACAGAAGCAATCCAGGTATGTGGGACTTGCAAGCAGGCTTTGAGAACTACAGGAGAAGGGGGTGACTGGGTCTCTAACACCTCTGCAAGGCACTGGAGGACATAGCTGTCTGCCGTTTCCGTGAGCAGGGGAAGAGTTAGGAGTTGCCACGTGGAGGTCTGGCCAAAGCCTGGCAGGCTGCCACGTCTCTCACCTTGAACTCTGTCATCTGCTGTTCCAGATTGACGATGAACTGCTGGACCCAGGGATCGTTAGCTTCATAGTCGCTGAACTCCTCCTGACAGTGAAATACAAAAAGGGTTTTCTATCCCTGAACAGCAGCAAACGGCCCAGAGGACAGGAAGGGAGGTCCCTCCTGGAGCAGCACTGCACCCCTCCTGTTTTCTCAAGCTCCTCTCCAGCCAAATGCCCCTTTCCAGGCTTGGATGCAGAGCAAGTTCTGGGTATTTTACTGTTGCCCTGTGATGAGGGAACAGCAGAGAACCAGGGGGAACGAGGCAGCAGTGGCTCCCAACTGTGCTGCTGAGCAGAGGATGGAGAAGCAGAAGTACAGCTGGAAGCAGAAAACGCTGAGCCTTACCTCCTCGATGTTGTGGGAGACGGAGAGGAATAGGTTGATCCAGGGCTTCACCTGGGGTTTGATGGCTGTGCTGTTCAGCTCATTGAGACCTTCCTGAGGGGGACAGGAAGAAGAGAGGAGAGTGCCTGAGCACAGCTAACGTCCAACGGCACACAACCTTTACAGTCACGCTGTCCTGATGCTGCCTCCCATCCTCACGGCAAGCTGGGGAAAGCAACCCACAGACTTGCACAGGAAACTGAATCCAGAAGTCTCAGATACCACATCCTTCCGGTGCTGGAGGGTTCTGAGGACACCACGACAACAAAAAGAGGAAGGATGTTGGCCCCGAAGCTGCCGTTGTGCTGACTTGCAGCCTGGTCTGAAGGGCTTGTGCTTCCTCCACCCCTGCCCACAGAACTACAGAAGTTTCCTGGCAGGAGAGAGGCATTCAGTTCGCAACCCAGCAGGGTAGGAAAGGACACAAACACCTCTCAGCAGCAGCCAGAAGGACACTGGGATTGGGTTCAACTGATGCCTCCCACCTCCAGTGCAGCTTAGCTCAGTAGGAGAAGCTAAAAGGATGATAAAAGCTGTAAGCACAGTTAGTTCCCTGAATTAATCATAACCCCAGCACATGCCATCTCCCCCAAGCAGCAGGTTGTCAGCAAAGGCTGTTCCATTCGCTTCAATGCTAGAGAGCTCTCTGAAAGCCCCCTCCTGCCAACCATCCCCATTTGGCTCAGCCAGATGTCAAGAAAGCTCACCCAGCATGAAACTATTCAGGTACCGATACTGCCTGGCATTTGATGGAAGTTTTTAACTAAAACTGGCATTTCTGAGCAGGCCCTGCTGGCAATTGTCCTTTTCCAAGGCAAATTCAATGTGCGCATGACTCAGGCAGCGCAGGAGCTTGCTGCTCAGCCTCTTGATGGCTTCGCAGCCAGTTTTAACACTGCACTAGAGCTAGACTGGAGAGTTTTACTCCTTACTGATAAGCTCTTTGGTTTTGATACTGACCACAAGCCTCAAGAGGCTTCACTGGTATATTTGCTGGCGGTCTGAAGGCATCTGGCTGTAGTGAACTGCAAAGCCAAATGACAAATAGTCTGCCCCTCTGTGAAGTACAAAGCTGATGGCAAACCTGGTTCAAAATATTCTCTTTCGCTTGGTTTCTTTCCGCAGGAGTATTAGGTGTTCCTGCTCTTCTCCCTGCCAGAGACCATTGTGAAATTTTAAGGCAACAGCCCCCAGCATGCCACACAAGACAGTGGATTTAGCCAGAGAGCTTTCTGCCCCATGCCAGTGAGTATTCCCATTTGGGAAAGGAGAAACTTGAGAGAAGAGCAGCTTTTCTCTGCCAACATCCGTCTTCAGCATTACCTAGTGAGGCTCTTGACAATGTGCTGTGCCACGAGGGAGAATGGAGGAGATGGAAATGCTATTAATATTTCTTCTGCTGAAAATGCTGAACCAACTACAACTCTGTGCTGAGTGAAGACAAATGGAGCAACATTCCTTCTAGCTCTGCAGCTGCTTCCAGTGTTTTTTATGTGGCCGCCAGCCAGTGTGGCTGTGCAGACAGGCTGGATCTGTTTCCATGCCTCAAAGCTGACTGATTTACTCCCTCCTGCACCCCTACCCAGCACTCCTGAGGTCAGAGGTCGCCCAGGCCTTGGGCTGATTCCTGCCTAAGCTCTCCCTGAAGACACCGGCCAGCCTGGCTGGAGGCCAGCAGTAACTCAGCAAGACACTTACCTGCAGCAAATCACGAAATTTGTTGGAGACAGCAGCCATGTCGGAGAGGCAGCTGTCAATCTTGGCCTGCGCCTGCTCACCCCCAAAGCCTTGGCTAAGCAGTT